GCAGTAGTAACTCTGCTCTAGTGAAATGTGGCCAAGTGGGAATGAAGCTCTAGGACTGCCTGACCTTCTGACATTTTAAGAAATGCAAGAAACGTGGATTTTTTTAATTTACAATTTCCCACTTTTCAAAACATTTGGTCAAACAAGGTACATCCATGGGCTACACTTAGCCTGTGGCTGCTACTTTGCACCTTTTGCCCAGAAGCCAGAGTTGTAGAATTGGGATGGATGAGCTTTAGCACCACCAAGCAGGTATCTTAAGGTTCAACCCGCTAAGCCAAAGAGTGACCCATTCACTAACATGAGCCCTGGCTCAGTCTGTGTTTCAAGTTTGAAATGTCATTTCTTTTCCTCCTTAGCCTGCCCTTAGCTGCTTCCCTCAGTAGAGAAAGAAATTGCTTTCTACCCTAACCCTAGCATAAAGCCACTACTTAGTGCCTAATGAAGGGGATCCTACAGTCCAGCCCATCATCGTTTGCGCTGTCTGCTCCGGGAGGTGGAGTCAGGCCTGGGATCCCTAGGTAGCTACAGAGGAGACAGGTTGCAGGGGATTGTATTGGCAGCATCATTCAAGAGGGTCAGATTCTCTCAGGCATGTGGGCATCTTGCCCACAGCTAAGTGGAAACAATGCCAAAACCACTGGTTACTTGATTTGATTCTGCCCAACTGCTTATTGTAATTGGATGACAGACATATTTCCCTCTCCTTTTCAACTGATGCTGTAGGGTGTGCGAATCTGGCTCATGAGCCATTCTTCTGGGTAGTTACCTAATGGGGTAGATTATCTCCTTTCACAGGCGAGCTATGCCTGCCTTTTGGCTGCCTAAAGAGTAAAACCAGGTCCAAACAAAATCAAATGCCAGGAAATTTCAGAACTTCCCCACATTTCATATGGCATTGTCTACAAAGGCCTTTCAAACGTTCCCTGCTCTATTACTCAGAGGGGATACATAGTTGCAGAATAAAACAGAAAAGAACTAACTACAATAGGCAATAAAGGAGGAAAGAAAAGAGGAAAGATACTCAGTGCAAAATGGCAGGACTTCTCACTGGGGGAGCTTGTAGCAAATAATTGGGAATAAGGAGAATAGTTGGGTTTTGATGGAGCTACTACACTGAAGTTCTTTAAAATACATAAGCTGTAGATTCAGAATTTTGTAACGCTGTGAATGGAGCCCTCTTCTGGAGAAATTTTTCAACAGGTATTAAAATAAGATCAAAACATACAGAGATGGACATACACAGACACAAAGAAGTAGGAAATACTGTGGCTATGTAGACAATGTGATGTTCACTGAACCCATAGTTTGTCATTTTCCTTCCCTTCCACCTAAGAGAAATTAACTGGACTCTCCGAACAACTGTCTTTTTGGAAGGAGGGAAAGAAAGAAGGATAGTCTCAAGAACCTAGATGCACTTTTACCTAAACAGTGAACCTCAAACTGAGATTCAGTGCACACAAGCAAATGCTGGTACTTTATATGCTGCAGTTACTGGGTACATTAGTTTGCTGGGCAATTCCACTGTAACACATAGGAGATACTTCTAGAAGGAAATAGATTTTATTTAATGGAAAACCCAAGGGCTAAAGATAGAAAAGGAGAGAAGGGAGGGAGGCAGAGCAGAAGAGATTAGCTAAGATGACTGTTGGGCTTTTAATATAGACTGTGGCATTACATAAACTCCAGATCACATATTCAGCCTTGCAGTTTATTAAATCTCTTTGGGGACTTGCTAAAAAAATTGTTCAGACATGTGAACTCTACCACTTTGATTCTTTTCACAACTTATGTCTCTCTTTCCCCAGTGCTTTTGAAATCTTACGGGCTGCCACATGTTGAAGCCATCCCAGGGCAGGGGGTAGTCTCTGCCACTCCCATAGTCTTTTCTCCTTATCAGAACGGTTCTGCAAATAAACACTTCCCTGAACATATAATAAATGGTGTTTCAGAAAACAGATTCTCATTTAAAATCCTGAAAATCAAGATTCTGACTCCAAAAAAGAACTCCCCATTTTAAATCAACATCTCAGAATTCTGTGGAACATTTTTGGTCACTCTCAAGTGACTGCTCTCCAAACCTGAACCACCCCCTAAAATTCTAATTCTTGGGGGATTACTCATTCATTGTTAGAACTTTTGGCTAATTGTAAGTGATACCCAAATGGGGGTGGGGGGTGGGAATCATACTTACAGTGTAATTTCTATGTCAGGACTCCTTGATCTGTGCCACATTCATTATTTATCATAGCTAAATGCCAAAGGCCACTTCTGGGACAGCCCTTCCCAAAACATCCCAGGGGAGAAGAGAGGTAACTGTTCCTTGACTTTGCCAGCTTCCAGCCACTGTTGCTTAGAATTCTTCCCCCTTCCAAAATGCCTAAAACAGCAACCAGCCAATAACCGTACAGAGACTGATGGGTTCCAAAGCCAGACCCAGAGTATTACAACTGCAGTGGAAAAACACATACATGCTTGCCTGAACACCACTTAGGACCAAGTGACTAATTTGCTTTATTACATTGTTTTTCCCTTTCTTCTGTTTTCGCTCTACCTTGAGAAAGTTTTGTTTTTGCTTGTTGACTCAAAGCCTCCAAGACTTTCCCCACTTTTCCCTACAGCACACAGAGCTGTGCACTTGAACCTCTTGCCGATTAAGTGAATTGCACCAAAATTATTTCTCTGCAAGGTGCTGTTGCAACCAGGATATCAATTAGTGTACTAATGTGGACATTTGCTCTGATTATGCATAACAATCTAAGAGAGAAATAAGCCTCAGAACAGGCAATTCAATTCCCGGTAAAACCTCTGCTTCCCCATGCTAAGGAACTGACTGAGCTGACAGCCTTCAGACCCACCTGTGCCATCTGGGCCCAGCGAGACAAGACACACCAGTTGCTTTACAAAAGGTATCATGTGAGAAGCCCCTAGTGCACAGGGATTGCTGGGTGCTGCCATGTGGTCTGCCTTGCTCAAAGGGAGGAATAACTTTGGGCAAGCCCTGGAATCCTATCTGAGGTCCAAGCATGCTGAGAGAAAAGGACTGTAAAGTCCTGGGGAAAGGCTGTGGTAAGTGCTCCCAGACACTAATGGTTCCCAGTGTGCCAGGCCTCATGGTAAATGCATTACCTAGGACATCCTGTTGAATGCAATTAATCTGCCTGGCAATCCCAGGAAGGTGATAAGATTATTTTACAGTGGGGAATCAGAAAGCTCAGAAATACTAAACAACTTGCCCAGGGTGGTACCACCAGCATATGGCAGAGAGGATCTGTCTGAATCAGAGGCATATTCTGAACCACCCTACAAAATGGGGATATATATACATACATACAGCCTCAGGGACAGACTCCAGAAAGTCTAGAAAACTGGTTCACAGACAGATACAGAATTTGTGGCAGGACTTAAGGTTACAGGGACCCCCGAGAGAATCAGCCAGCAAAGCCCTGGTGTTAGAGGAGTACAACTGCGCAGTCCTGAATGGGGGCTGTGTATCCAGGGAGGACAGAAATCCTAAGTGGGGGAGGGGCTCAGCAGCCCAGCACCTTACCCTGCCCCCAGGCACTAGCATCCACCCAGTAACCCCCACTTTACATCATTTCCATGGTCACAGCGTTCCTGGGACACTGAACCATTTCCAAAGTCTAACCCCAACATTGATCTAGCAGTGGCCTCCCTTAGAAGGCTGCAGTGTATCCCCACATCCCAGCCAGCCCTTGCCTGGGATCCTAGCTGCCTCACCAATCCCCCCTTACCCAGCACTCACAGGTGTGCCTGTTCCCCTGGCACTCAGGAGTCCTGGACAGGAACTCAACACCCATTCCTAGCACCCAAAGGCACTCCCTGTTTCCTTCCCTCCTCTCTGTCGGCCCTGCCTTGATCTTACCCACCCACTTGTAAGCTGCCACCTCATCCGGAGTCCCATGGGCTTCACAGGAGGCCTTGGGGGACCGGGTCACAGTCCTCTCAGAACCTACAGGACCCAGAGCAGGGCTGGGCGTGCCCCTCGGCTGCCAGCACCTCTGGTCTGGCCTCCTCGGAGTACTGCTTTCCTGCACACAAACTTCCTTAGATCTTCGAGATACAGAGGTGGTTGCCCAAGAACGAAGTCTCCATCGCACCCCAACCCCCACCCTCTCTGGGGTCACCGGCCCTTCCCTTGTGCCTCAGCGCTCTGAGGGTTAACAGGCAGCTGCAGCCCTGGTGGGCAAGGCTTGAACTTTTCTCTGCGCTCCGCGCCCGCCCGGGGAAGACAGCAGAGGCGGCAGTCGGGGCTCAGAGCCGGAGCTCCAGCTGGCTGGACAAAAGGGGCGCGGGGGGCTGGGGCCTGCGTCCTGGCGGGGAGGGGTGACGGAGGTGGGGGGGAGACGCGATCCCATCCCGAGGTCGGGAAGGAAAAGAACCCCGATGCGGGCGCGGCCAGAGCCGGCGCCTTTGAGCGACAGCAGCAGCCGGGCTGCAGCGCTAGGCTGGTGTGAGGCGCCTTCCCTAGTGCCGCTGGGCTGGGCGAGGGGGCCCGGGCGCCCGGGGAAGTCGGCAATGCCAGGCCGGCCTCTCCAGCCCGGCAGCCAGCAATCCGGACCGGAGCCGCGCTTCCTCGCCCGGCGCTGCGCTGGGGGAAACCACGACTCCTTGGAGTCGCCTCCAACTGAGTCTTTCTCCAATGCATGAGCCTCTGGAGGAGACGAATCAAAGTTACCCCACTTGATGTAGGCGAGAATGTCGCCCCTGCTTACAAAAAAAAAAAAAAAAAAGGGACTCGGGAGCTCTCGCCTCCTCCCACAAATGTACACACACACACACAGGGAACCCGGAGTGCGAAACCAGGGTCCCCCTAGGCTCTGCTGGGCTGTGAATGACCTCCCTTCGAGCCCTAGGCTTTTTTCGCCGCCGCGCCCCAGAGTCTCCCGACCCCCGAAAGCCCCCTCGCCCTGCCCGCGCCAGACGATCCGAATGCAGAAACGGGGCGCGGGGTGCACCCCACAGCCCCTCTTCCCTACCTGGGACAGGAGAACGCACAGAAGGAGCGGAGTTCTCGGCTGCATTTTGCCCGACTAGAAGCGCCCGGCGGCGTTTTCATTCATGCACTTGTCTGCACTGAGCATATTTTCCGTGGGAGCCAGGCTTTGAGGAGAGGCTCTGCCTCGCCAGCCAGCCAACTTCCCAAATAGATCAGCGGCAGCATCACGAAAGCATTGGGTAGAGGCTGATGACCAGGACCAATGGCTTTACAAGACGGATTCCTTCATAAAGCTCCCTCGTTTTGCATGGCAGATACAGGGCGAGCACCTCGCACAGAGCAAGCCCCTCGGAGGCGGCAGCCCTTTTGCTTTTTTGGACTGTTGGGGCCCAGCCACACAAATCACGCTGGGCAACGCCAGCCGATTCCACTTTTGCAGAGAATGGAATTGCACCGGGGACTAGCAAACACTTCCAACCCAGTGCAAAAAGATTCTCTTTATTAAAATGTTAATAAGATCCACTTTAATTCCAATAAATCAAATAAAATGACCCCAGCTGTTCTAACCCTTTCCATGCCTGGGAAGACTTAGCAGTGGATTTTTTTTCCTTTCTTTCTTTCTTTCTTTCTTTCTTTCTCCTAATGTGGCCCAAGTCATGATGGTGTTTGGTGTTTCCTAGCCATCTCACAAATCACAAAGACGACAGATCAATTCTCGCTTGCAGAAAAAAAAATCCATCAAGAGGCAATAGATTTTACTAACTGCTCAGGTGAGAGTCTGACTGGCCACCTATTCCACAAATGTGCATCTGCCACCAAATTTGGAGCCATGATTTAAGGAAACTTTTTTTTCTATATGAATGTGATTTTTCAGAAGTTCCTACCAATCTCCAGGGACTGAGAATAGTCATAACCGCTGCTCAAGAGGTTTTATAAGTGGTGGTGCTATAGAAATAAGGATCAGAGGGATATATAGGTCTACCTTTCCCAGTAGGAATCTAAGAATATGCAGTAAAGATCTCACTTTGTCATTTCCACGCAGCCTCCTTCTAAAAAGGATTTAAGGTATTTTAAAATAAAAGACATTTGTGCAGAACTGATGCAGCCAAAATAAAAAAAAAATCTAGGCTGGGAGGAAAAAATTCAGAAAACTGAAATGCTAAACCAAAACTCTAGTATCTTTGCCCTGATTTGGATCTGAGCTTCCTGGTGGCCAAAGCAATAACAGAAACATGTAAATTATGTAGTTCTTATTATAGAAAAATGTACACAAATATCTACTGATGAAATTTGCCCCTGGAGCTGAATACTAGAATACATGTATTACATGACATCTAATATAGCAGGACACTGCGCGATGGACTATGCTGAGATCCAGTGGATTGGGCTGTATTCCCAGCATCTGGCACAGGCCCTAGAACATGGAGACAGTCATCAGTGTGTGTTAAATAGATGTCTAGACCTAATCAAAGCGGCAGACGGTGGGTGGCACAGAGTCTGGAGCCACACTGCCTAAGCTTAACCCCCAGATCTGTCTCAGACAAGTAAATTACTCAGACTCTCTGTGCCTAATTTTGTTCATTAGAATATAAATCATACTGAACTTATAAGGTTGTGGTGAGGATTAAGTGACAAAATAACCACTCAATAAATGTAAACGGGTGCCCTTTTTAAAATTCCTTCACTGCCAGCTCTTTAGTCCCAAGATCACCTCACGTGGTCCCAAGGTCACAGAAGAAGTTGCAATGCTATCCAACTTCCCGGCTGCATTAGCCAGAGCTGGCCTAACAGATGGCAATGTTGCCCAAAAGCCCTCCAGAAAAGCCCAGGAAAGGGGGATGTTGCTGCTTCCTCCGGTCTCTTCAACTTTCCATCCTCTTGCCTAAGTAGGCCCTGGTCCTGAACCTTTGAGAGGGGCAGTCATGATGTATATAGATATGACTGCCCCCTCTGGGAACTCATGTGTGTGGAGACCTATACCCATGCTGCCTACCAATAAGAGCAAAATGGGGTATTTTGGAACCAGGCAGGCTTTAAATCAAGGCATCCTGAAATACCCTGGTTTTTCTCCATTCCACAGCAGGAGTCATCTTGTCAGTCAGGGGCTGAGCTAAGCCCACGGATTCAGCAGACACAAAAGCAGACAGAGACCAGAGGACAGCTTGGGAGATGATAAACCACTAGAAGGGATAAAGAGGCAGAAATCATCCAGCCATGTTTCCATAAGCAGCCACTCAGTTGGGGAAGCAGTCTTTAGGGTAGGGTGTGCAAGGCTGCACTTGTCCAAAGTATGAAACAGTATTCTTGATTGTATGGTTTGGCAGGCCCTTTCTGTGGTCTATCCATCCGATCAGCCTTACTGCTGCTCACCATGTAGGTCCAATTTTCTCCCTTCCTGGCACATTCAGGGCTGCACTTGCCAGCCCCCTTGTGGTCAGCATGGGGTTGTGTGACTAGTCATAGCCAATAAGCTGTGAGCAAAAGTGATGGGTGTCACTTCAAGGCAGGAGCATTTAATAGTCAGTGTGAGACAAGTTGGTGAGTCCTTAGACTAGGGGCTGAGAAGGAAATTTGTGCAGATGGCTTACTCGGGGCAACAAGTGCAAGAGAAAGGTAAACAAGGTTGGCAGGGGAGAAGACTGCAGTGGTGGTAGAAGCCTCAGCCAATCCCAGGGGAGCTCTGAGGCGTTGCATTCAGAGACAACCCTAATACAGTGGGCGGGGGGCTGAGCCTTTGTGCCCCTAGGAGGCCCACTATTGGCTTTTCTCCCAAGGAGGGGGTAATCTCTGGTGAGACGCTTGGTTTGGCCAAGGGCAATAGTCCAGTCAGACCTCAGCTTCTTCATCTACATACAAAATGAATGCATTGACCCACAACAGGTAACTGGAGGCTGTGATTCCCAGATTGCTGATGACCACATGCCCCTGATGGTACCAGTGAAGGTAGGTGCAGATTTGCAAAAATCTGCTGAGTCTGTCTCCAGCCAGTGCCTGTGCAGGCATTTACCAAGGTCCTGGGCTTTTGCCCCGAGTTACTCTATTAGCAGACAGACTGGCTCCAGCCAACCATACCTGAGTCCAAGTGAGCATGCCCAAAGGGTCACTCCCATCCCCCCTACTTCGGTCCCCACAGCTTGGATTTTAAGGGCCAGGAGGAGTTAACTTCTATAGAGTCTTCTTAGGCCTTAAGGCTCACCTTTAGAAACCCATGAAGGCTAAGGAAGGTCGAAAAGATTTGTCTGCAAAATGAGACTTAGTTTGGGATCTCCAGACTCTACTTACCTTGGGCAAGTTGCTTTTACTTCCCAAAGCTCTTTATTCATCAAGAAAATGGGAATGCTAATACAATAGCACTCCAAGGGTTTTTATAAAAATGGATGCTCCTTTTCCCCCTCAATCCCCTACTTTCCCTCTACTGTCAGAGAACGTGCATTTCACCAAACACAGGATATCAGGTTTTGTTCAATAAAGAAAGAAAAATCATTTCACTCCAATGATAAAAGGCCCCTAAAGAAGAAATCCATTTTTGTTTGTTTTACATTTTCCCTTCAACTCCCTAATGGGAGTCTTTTGGCTGATGGATGGATTGATGGTGGCAAGGGAGCACTGAAGCTGGAAACCACCCCCTAATGGCCCCTGCTTCACCTCTCCCCACTCCAGCCCCCCACCAAGCCCCTGGCTGATTTGTCCAGAACCTGGGTCTGCCTTTGGCCACATTCCATGTTCACACTCCATTTCCAGGCACATTAGCCTGGCTTTGGGGCTGATGAAATCACCCAACATTCAGTGCCAGGGATCGAGACTGTTGCCTCACAGTGACATAGATGAAGACATTTCTGGCTGTGTGAAGATTACCATGCACATGTGTGCAGGGGTTGGGTATGTGTACAAGCACATGGATGTGTGTGCATAGTGAGGGGATACCTGCCATACCGTCCAGCAGAGATAATTTACTCAAATTTTGGTACCCTTTGAATGTGCTTTTGTAATGAGGCATTTGTACAGAACAGTGATAAGCCAGATAGATGCCTTATGAGACACAATAATCGGGTATGCCAGGAGCCCTTGTCCTAGTATTTCCTAGGACAACAAGGAGGGAAGCCCACACTGTATAGCATTACGTACACAGCACAATGCTGAAGCTGCACCCCTCCCAATGGGATAGGCTGCTATAAAGCACGCGAGACTATGCCACCACACCACCCCACAATACCTGACCACCCAAAAGTAGCATCCTTGATTGTTCTTGAGCCACGAACCTGTTTTGTTTCTTCATAGCCCTTTATGTTACTTAATCTTGTACTGTCAGTGGTCACTTGCATTATTGCTCCATTTTTCACTCCAACCTGCATCTCCACCTTTTGCTCCTTGACTTTGGGTTTGGCCCCCATGAACTTGATGTGGCCATTGGAATGAGGCAGAAGTGATGAGGTGGCAGTTATAAACCCAGGCCCCAAGAGGCCCTGTGTGTTTCAGCTTGCTCTTGCTAGGGCCTTCATGGGTGAGCTTAGTGGTTGTAGGAGGAGAGACAAGCACCCCCATAAACCCAGAGGTGCTTAGGTAAGCCCAGCAGAGCCCCACCCAGATCATCGGACCTATAGCTATGTGAACTAAAAATAAATAATTGCTCTAAATTTGGAGGTGGTTTGTTATATAGCAAAAGCTAACCAATAATTACCTTTTTTCGCTTGTTATCTATCTCTCTGAAACGTAAGTCCCATGTCTCTCTTTCTGCTTCTGTGTGCTCAGCTTCTAGGACACTGGCATACAGTAGGTGCCCAAATGATTTCTGCTGAGAATATAAATTAAGTGGCTTCTGTACTAAAAAATGTTTGATGCTGATGTGACAACTGCCCCCTACATAGACTGCCCTACCAGAGATACTTCCTAATGTTGACAGTTCAATCCTCCCACACACAAAGTATCCTATGACCTTGAGAGTCTCCAATCCCATGTGGCCATCTAATTCATCCTACAAGGCAAGGTCTCCTTACAATAGTCTAGACCAGAATTAGACAAAGTAAGGGACATTCCACAGAGGTTACTGTGAGCATGTTGGTGCTTAGAGATCTTTGGTGAAGAATACTTGGGGTGTGACATCCTTCTGAATTTCCACAACATATGAAGAGCCCAGACATCTAAGAATAAGACAGGAAATACTCCTTTGGCTTTAGGAATACTGCATTAATACAGTGTCCTCTGTGAATACAATCAATACCATCATGACTTCCACACTTGTACAGAGATAAAATCGGGAGTGACTTTTAGGCCATCTCAGTTCAATGGCCTCACTGTCTTTAGGATTTCAATTCCTCTTTAGTAGCAAAATTGGGCATTCAGACACCAATTTTATCCTGTGAACTAGTAGCCATTAAAACCCCCCT